GCCAACAAACATATGAAGAAATGCTCACGATCATTAGCCATTAGAGAGATGCAAATCAAAACAATAATGAGATACCATCTTGCACTAGCACTAGCAGCAAAGTTCAACAAGACAGAAAATAACAAATGCTGGCGCGGATGCGGAGAGATTGGGACTCTCATACACTGCTGGTGGGACTGTAAAATGGTACAACCACTGTGGAACGCAGTATGGTGATTCCTCAAAAAGTTGGAAATAAAAATACCATTTGACCTAGTCATTCCATTACTATGTATATATCCTAAAGAAGTGAGAGCCATGACAAGAACAGACATATGCACACCCATGTTCATCACAGCACTATGTACAATAGCAAAAAGTTGGAAACAATCTAGGTGACCCTCAACTGAGGAATGGGTAACCAAACTATGGTACATACACACAATGGAATACTATACAACCTTAAAGAATAATGTAGAATCTGCAAAACACTGCATAACGAGGATGAACTTGGAGTACATTATGCCGAGTGAAATAAGTCAATCACAGGAGGATAAATATTGTATTAGTCCGTTATTGTAAAAGTCAAGGAACAGTTTATATATGGAAGGAAATTTTCTTTGTTGGTTACCAGGGGTGGGAGGGTAGGGTAGGGAACAGTTAGATAGGAAGATCTAAGTATTGATTTGGGTGAAGAGAAGGGCAATTACCAAATGTGAGTGATCAACATGGTGGCAGTGAGGAAGAGGAAGACATGGGAGTGATACATGGGAGGTGCAGACAGTAAAGATGAACCCTTTTGCACATACAGTACTGTGTTGTCAGTGAAGGCTAACGTGGGTATACGGGTGGATAGATGGGTGGATCGGCTGAATTATTAGGTATGTCTATGAAGCAGGGAGTGTACCCAAGACCATATACAGGGTTGGCAGACAATGGTTCTACAAGTGTATTTGTATGTTCTGTAAGAATCCCCAGAGCTGACAAGGGACAAGGTTGTAGTCACTTCTTGGTCACAGCCAGCTACCCAGAAGGAGTGAGCAGCTGAACCTGTGGGCTTGGGACCACAGTCACAGGGGACATCAAGTTCAATTGACATAACATACTACACAAAACACTGTTCTACATCCTACTTTGGCGAGTAGTGACTGCGATCTGAAAAGCTTGCAAGCAGCCATTTAGATGCAATGATGGGTCTCTCCTCGTCCAGAACAAAGAGGAATGAGGAAAACCAAAGATTCATGGAAACAGTTAGTCCTTGTGACTGGTATACCATGCGATCCTCACCCTATACGACTATGAGACCAGAGGAACTACCACTGTCAACCACTCGGAGGGGGATCTATGTAGGAGATCCTGGACAGAGAAGGAGAACAATGTGGAACAAAACTCAAAATCATTTGGAAACAAACAAACAAAAAAGGTTGGGGGGACCAGGTTTGCTGGTCTGATAGAGCCTGCTGGAACTACTGAGACTAGGGTCCCTAGCTGCCCTTCAGGCTGGAATTGAACTCACACCTGTGGCTTCCAGCCAAACAAAAGACAGGCATATGAGTTGAACATTTACCTGAGGCAGATACACGCCTTAGAGAGAACAATCATGGGAGAAAGAAGGGCTGTGTATGCACAGAGAGACAGCTCAGGGGGCAGGAGTGTATGGAGGGATGGCCACTGGGAAGAGGTAACTATTGGGAGGAAGTGGGAGAGGGGCTGTTGCATTGGGGTAAATTGTAGTCAATGTCATGAGACAATGTGTGTGAACTGCTGTATGGAAAGTGCATTTGCTCTGTGAACTTTCACCCAAATCACAATAATAATAATTAAAGATGGATTGACACAGTGGCTGCAACAATGGGCTCAAACAGCAATGATGGTGAGGATGATGCACGCCAGCAAGGGTCTCACTGCACTGTACACAGGGTTGCCGTGAGGCAGAACCAGGCCAGCAAGGGTTTCACTGCACCGTACACAGGGTCGCTGTGAGGCGGAACCAGGGCACCAAGGGTCTCACTGCACTGTACACAGGGCCGCCGGGCCAGCAAGGATCTCACTGCACTGTACACAGGGCTGCCGGGCCAGCAAGGATCTCACTGCACTGTACACAGACAGGGCCGCCGTGAGGCAGAACCAGGCCAGCAAGGGCCTCACTGCACTGTACACAGGGCCGCCGTGAGGCACAACCAGGTCAACAGCACCTAAGAACATGTCTTCTCTCTCCCCACCTGGAACAGTGAATTGGAAAGGGAAAATATTTACTTCTGTAAAGCGCTAGCTCCCTCAGTAACTCGGAAGTTACAGAACTGCAGAATTCTGTAATTATGGGAACAGGAGGTGAGAATGTAAGTGAAGGTACTTTTGTTCTTTAATGTTTGCTTTATTAATGTATTTCAGGGTGCCCTCAATTCTTTACTTCTTCATGACATGCAAAAATACCTATGATCTTCAATAATGTAAAAAAAAATCAAGTAAGTGACTGAGAAAATCAAGAAGTCTGAAGTCTCTTCCTAAATTCCAAGTCGGCTTTCCCACCAGCAAACATCAAATGGAGGGATGGGGTGGGCAGAGGGCAGGACAGGGAACGCCTCAGGGCCCAGGAGAGGACCCTTGGTTCTCACCAATGTAAGGCCATCTTGGAAGCAATATAGTTACAAATCTGAGATGCGTGTTTGTCTTTTTTAACCAAAGAAAGAGAGAAAGAACTATGATTTCAGAAAGAAGTCTCTCGGGGAATCATGAGTGAAAGTAAGATTCACTGGGTACCAAGGGGACGAGATGCTGCCACGCTGGCCCTGAGCTGGAGTAGAACCGTGCTCCACAGGGTTTGTAACAGGTGATGCGTCAGGAGACCACCAGGTCCTTCTTTCCAAGGTGCCTTTGGGTGGACTTGAGCCACCCACCTTACAGTTAACAGTAAAGGACCTTCACCATCCGCACCACCCGGCCTCCCTGGTGAGCTCAGAGATGAGATGTCTGCAGGGCAGACAGCCAGCACTCGCTGCCATGGCCACGGGCAATGCTACTCAACATGATCGAGCCATCCCTTGCCTTCCTCTGGCCGGCTGACCACACCGGATGGAGGGACCACTAAATGCTCCTGAGCCCCAACCACCACCTCTCGTCTCTGGGGCAGAGGCCACCAGGCCGGCGGCCCGCCCGCCACCTCACCTGGCTGTAGTCCTGCACGTCCTCCTTCAGCAGCTCCAGTTCCTCCTTCTCCTTGGTCAGCGACTTCTTCTGCTCCTTCAACTTTGAGCAGGCATCGCTGAGGATGTCAATCTCTTCCTTGGTGATCTCCTCTCCCTGAGAAGCAGACACACACGGACCGAAATGAAGGGCGACATGGCGCTTTCTCCCCTAACGGGCCTCTGGCGTCTCTGTTCCTGGCCACAGGTGAGCACCTAGTAGCAGTGCGTCACTTTAAGGAGATGCTCACTGCTGACACTCAACGGGCCAGCAAAGCTAGAGGCACAGGGGAGTCCAACGCAGGGGTACATGCACCAAGTCCGCAGGTTCTTCCCGGTGACCTCATGCACTGAACTGTGCGTACTGAAAGGGTGTCATCTGATGAATGCTGGCAAATGTGTGCACCCATGAAACCAGCACCCTGTACAATCAAGACAGGGAGCCACCAATAACTGTGTCCTTGTACCCCCGTGTGCTCCCTCCCTCCCACCTCCACCCTGCCCCTAACAGCCACTGAGCTGCCTCTGCCACTACAGGAGTTTGCATTTTCTAGAGTTTCCTATAAACGAAAACGGACAGCATCAGTTCCTGACGTCTCCCACCCACTCAGCGTGAGGACTCTGAGACTCACCCATGCTGTAGGATGCTGTCTGTTGCCGAGTGGTGCGACAAGATGTGAATGTGTCACACTTTGCTTATCCATCCACCTACTGACAGATATTACCTCATCTCCAGGTTTCAGCTATTACAAACAAAAGTGCCACGAACATTCATATGTAAGTCTTTGTGTAGACAGATGTCTTCCTTTCTCTTGTGGAAATACTAGCAGTAGGTCATGTGGTAGGCCAAAGTTTAACTTTTGAGGATATGGCCACAGTGTTGTCCAAAATGGCCTGCATCCACACCAACACCTAGACGTGTCTCTGCAATTTTAGCCATCCTAACAGGTGGGCACTGGCACCTCACAGGGCTTGTCATTTGCATTTCCCCAATGACCAGTGATGTTACCATCATCCACGTGCTTAACTTGCTCTCTGTAGGTCTGTGGTGAGAGGGCTGTCCAAATATTGTGCTCATTTCTGAACCTCGAATAATGTAGCTTCCTGTTTACTGAGTTGTAAGAGATGTCTGAAAATTCTAGGGACAGATTGTCGGTCAGATAGGGTTACGCAAACTTTTTCTCCTTGCCAATCACTTGCCTTTTAGTTTTCACTAGACATTTTCTGAAGCAAAAGTTCTGAATTTCTATAAAGTCCAATATATTGATTTTTTTTTTTTTTACACAGTGTCCTATTCAAGAAATCTGTGACAAATTCAGTCACTCAACTTTCCTTTGAAGTTCTCTTTCAGGCATTTTGATGGAGTTACTTTCTTGTATTTACGTAGATGTCTCATGTTCTGGTTACCTAGTGCTGCTCTGACAAGAATATACCACAGATGGGATGGTTTGAACAAACAGTTTATTCTTTTACAGTCTGGAGGCTTTAAGTCCGAGTTCAAAGTGCCAGGCTCTAGAGGCTGGGTGAAAGCCCCTCAACCTTGGGCTTTAGCTCTACCTCCTGCTCCCGGCCCACTGGAGTTAGAGGCTTTTCTTCTCTCCACTGCTAGCTGCTGAGGCTGCCAAGTCCAAGGTCGACAAGTAATAAGGCACAGTCTTGATATTACCAAATCACATGGCAGGCTGCTGAACAACAACTCGGCTACATGCAGGGTGTGCCATAAGCTAGACATCATTCCCAAAGCTGTTTCTTATATAATGGAAGCAGACCACATCCCCAAAGCAGCTACCTAGCTGCTCCAGTAGATTCCACCATGGAGTTAATTACCACTCTCACCATGGGGAATAACTACATTCAGCTGTCCAGCCACTCAACCAGGCCCAGCCAAGTTGACACACAAACTTAACCACTGCATCCCATCCGGAGTAAAGGTATGCTGTGCAGTTAGGCAAGAGTCCAGCTCCATTTTCTGCACATGGCTGTCCACCAGTGCCAGCACGTCTGTTACAATGCTCACCCCTTCCCTGCTGCACCGGCCTGGCACTCTCAGTCAACTGCCCCTGCGTACATGGATTTCCTTCTGGATCTCTGCTGTGTCTGCTGATCCAACCTCTACACCAACACCACCGGTCTTGACGGCTGTAGTTTCAAGTCCTGGATCAGGTAGTGTCCCTCCCGCTCTGGTATTTTCTCTGGCAGTTCCAGGCAGTGTGGGCTCTTTCCAAACGAATTTTACAATCAACCAACACTCTGCTGGGGTTTTGGGGGGATGGTCTTGAATCCAGAGATCAATCTGAGGCAGAAATTACATCTTAACCACTGAGTTCCCATTCCCGAGTACAGTAAACCCTGACGTGTTCACGCCTCCTTCTGTCTCAGCAGTGGGGCAGCACACTCTTGCACGCTTGTGCACTACAAGCCTTGCACATCTTTCTGAAAGTCCGCCCCTAAGGACCTCTTTCTATTGTGCTGCTGTAAATGTTACCTGTATGTTTTATTTCAATTTGTGCATTACTAGGACACAGAAATACAGAAGAACTGCACAGTGTCATGTCGTTCGTGAATAAAGGGCTGTATGGCCTCCTTTCCAGTCTCTCTGCTTGGTTTCTGTCCTCTTACGTG